ATCTATTTTTTTCCGATCAATCGCTTTCATTTTCATTTTTTCCCTTATGTTAATTCCATTTCTTTTGCTTTATTTATCTTTTTTTCCCGATCAATCATTTATCTTTTTTATTCCATTTTCCCCCTGTGTTAATTCCCTTTCTTCGCTTCATTTTATCTATTTTTTCCGACCAATCGTTTTCATTTTCATTTTTTTCCCTTATGTTAATTTAATTTCTTTCGCTTTAATTATCTTTTTTTCCGATCAATCCTTTATCTTTTTTATTCCTTTTTCCCCTGTGTTAATTCCCTTGCTTTCGCTTTATTTATCTATTTTTCCCGATCAATCGTTTTTATTTTCATATATTTTTTTTTCTCTATGGTAATTCCATTTTTTCGCTTTAATTTATCTATTTTTCCCGATTAATTTCATCTTCTTTTTTCACCCTATGTTAATTCCATTTTTTTCGCTTTATTTCTTTTTTTTCCCCCGATCAATCGGTTTTATTTTTATCTAATTTTTCCTCTGTGATAATTCCCTTTCTTTCGCTTTATGTATCTATTTTTTCCCCGATCAATCGTTTTCATTTCCATCTATCTTTTTTTCCTATGTTAATTCAACTTTTTCGCTTTTTTATCTATTTTCCCGGTCAATCGTTTTCATTTTCATTTTTCTTTTTTTCCCTATCTCTTTCGCTTTGTTTCTCTATTTTTCCCGATTAAACGTTTTCATTTCCATTAATCGTTTTTCCCCCATGTTAATTCCTTTTCTTTCGCTTCATTTGTCTATTTCTTCCCGATCAATCGTTCCATTTTCATATATTCTTTTTTTTCCCTATGTTAATTCCATTTCTTTCGCTCTTTTTTATCTATTTTTCCCGATCAATCGTTTTCATCATTATTTATATATATTTTTTCCCCCTCTGTTAATTATATATCTATTTTTCCCCATCAATCGCTTCCATTTTCATATATTCTTTTTTTCCTAATGTTAATTCCATTTCTTTCGCTCTCGGGGGTCTGGTAACAA